ATAGAGCATAGTCTAGGATATGGTTATAAGGCGATTTCGATTTACTATTTTAGTTGCGGCTGGTGTTAGGAGGCCTATTCCGTTGTGCCCCGGTATGCCGTTCTGCCCCGGGTTCCCCTACCTAAAATGAAGTTTTTCGGCAATCGTTCTGAAAGTACATACTTTCCGAACGCGTTTTACTTACGGAATGTGATTACTTAGGCCAAGAAGTGATTACTTTCCGGCCTAGTCTGGAAAGTATGTTCTTTCCGACCGAAGAAATAGTATACGTAATACTCTCGGAAAGTGTTTTTTCGGACTCGCAGACTGGAATCTTGTCTACTCGTCCAAAAAAAAAACAGTACTTTCCGGACTCCTCACGCAATATGTATGTGTACTATTTTTGATGAGTCTAAAAAACTCCAAAAATTGATTGAATTCCGTTGACAAAAATGTGAAGTACTTAAATGTGACATTAAAAATTTAAAACTGATTACGCATTGGCATTGCTGTGGCAAGAGGGCCAGGTATTTTTTTTTTCTGATTGCTATAACGACTTTTAGGGACTAGGCCGAAAATGAAGGATTTTACGGACTGAAATGGGTCCGTAAAATACTCCTTGCGTAAAATAGACATTTTTGAAAGCTAATACTCGACGGAGATTGACAATTGACAATATTGACACGAGTACTAGGAGTCGGAGGACTGACTGAAAAGAAATCTGTAGAGATCGATATTACAGTTTTCTGTTTCGGTTTAAAATTGCCAAAGCGAATAATGCTTGGGTGGGCGTAAAATGATTTTTTTTTATTCTCTTGTATGTTGTGTCCAAAAAGCGTCAGGACACGCCGGGCCCTTGTGCGCGGCACGACTTGCACGACCTGTTGCTACGTCCCTGGCCATAATTGTAGTGTTTGTTTCGAAAGAAATAATGACGTCAATAGCTATACAGTGTGATTTTTTTAAGTGTGCAACATATGGGGCTTTTTTTTTAGTAATAGCACAAACCAAATACAAACAAGGCCAAAAGTTGGTGCATGTCTGATAATCATATTAGGTACACTTAGAATGGTTGCAAGTCAAACAGCATACAGGGTAGCTCAAACAATATCAAAGCTGGTACTGTAAAGTACCCTTATTTTATAAAATTCAGCAAAATGTTATAGAGAAAAGTTGTTTGGAATTAAAAGTTATGCCCAAATACCAAAACATAGCCTGCTAAGATTTTTTTTATTTTCTTTCGAAAAAAATTTATAATTTCTATATTTTTTTTTATTTTTTATTTCCGCCCTTAATACTTTCAAAAATTAATTAAAATAAAATCAATTTTACATAACTTTGTTCAAATTCAAGCATATTTGTAAAATTAACTTAGATTTTTAATTTTTTCTGGAATCACAAAATTCATGTTTGTTGCAATGATATTCAACACAACTTTAAAATGTCGCAATTTTTTTTTTAATAAATTAAAACATTACTAATGATAATAGCCATATTAAAAAAACTCTCCTTGAAGTGCAAAAGTTTTATTTTATTTAAGTAAATATTAGTAGAACTTTGATATTTTTTGAGCCACCCTGTATGCTGTTTGACTTGCAACCATTCTGAGTGCTAGGTGCACTCAGAATATAGGCTTTCAAAAAGGTACCAAAAATTGGGGTGTTCGAGTTCGATTGACGCGTAGTTTATATCCAGAGGCATTATCCTGCAGTTATGAGAATGGATCATTTCAATCCGGGAACATAATATTTAGTAGTACATATAATTTTTTTAATATTTGTGTATCATTTTTAATAATGTTATTTTTTTGTGTAAGTAACTAATTTTTTGTTTAAACAATACCTATCACTTTTTCCAAATTTGAATTTACCGTTTCCGAAATTAAGTTTACTTTTTCTTAAATAAAAGTTACCTTTTCCGAAATTGAGGTTGAAATGGTGTAAATTCTGATTAATGTCGGCTTTTGATACGATAATAATAATATTAATAATAATAATAGTATATTCTTCAATGAGCATATGATAATAGCTATTATTCACGAGAATGAAAATTCAAACACGAGCCGAAGGCGAGTGTTGGAATCATTCGAGTGAAATAGCCATCATTTGCGAGTAGAATACTATACTTTCTCTTCAAACTTTTCAATAGAAAATCATTAGTTTTTTTAAAAACATAGAGAAATATAATAATAGTAAACTACGAGAGACGTTTGTTTAATGTAACAATCTGGAAGTGTGTTTGAGCCAATGAACTATAAACTACACGTACCTGGAATGGCCCGACAATCTAAGGACCCCGCACACTTCTTATGGGATTTCTGACCGCGGTCAAATTTAACCAAATTTTAGTATGTTATAGATCTCAGCTTTCTGATCAATAACTACCATGGGCACAACCAAATCCTATGACTAGTTTTAGAGATACATGTAGTTTAATGTCCAAGAAATGCACACATTTCATATGCATTTATATCTACCTGTCACCTGAGCGTGAGGATACCTGTCCATCCTGGTATTATTAGGTGACAGGTAGATCTAAATGCATAGAAAATGTGTGCATTTCTGGGACATTAAACCACCTGTATCTCAAAAAGTAGTCATAGGATTGAGTTGTGCCCATGAGAGTTATTGATCAGAAAGGCGAGATCTATAACATACTAAAATTTGGTTAAATTTGACCGAGGTCAGAAATCCCATAAGAAGTGTGCGGGGTCCTTTGCGGCAAATTGCGATGGAGAATGTGGGGGATACCCATCTCTATTTATCTTATTGGCGAATTATGGAAATCTTTCCTTGTCTAAAAAATATTATATTTCAGGTTAGGAATATACCAAACCTAACAGCAATGAACTGGAGAGAGAAAGGGATCCCCCACTATGTAGCTTTTTTGGACGCACTAAGCGAGATGACAAATGCCATATTCGACAACAGTCGGTGCCATTCCAGATACGTGTAGTTTATAGTTCATTGGTTTGTGCACATACCCGTAGCGTATTTCGCATGGTGTGGCAGATTATTGAACTAATTACTTCGATCGTTTCTGACAAATCGGTAGACAAATGTCTTTGTCAGCAACTTGCCCGAAAATGTTCTATCTTTTTTTAACACATACAAAATACAAAATTTGACAAATGATTGAATCCAAAGACCATCAATCAAAAACTGAATGCTCACAATCATAACGTAAAATTTCTTCTATTATTTATATTAGAGAAATGAGAAAACATTCTGTGATCATGAATATTAATTAATTAGACAAAACCGACACCAATAATAGTGTGTTTTCGAATTTGCGATGATGCGAGATGCAGTAAAAAGGTAAACACAAAGCTTATAATACAAACATTTTTAGTTACTGTATATTTATAAAATTGGAATAAAAAAATAAGTTTGTTTGAAGATATCTCAATTTTTGTATTGCTCAATTACCTCCTTGACCCCCTTAAGGAATCTCATTGCATCTAATTTGGATTTTTTAAAAATAAGTTCTGTTATCGTTCTAAACAGTTGCTCGGTAAATTTTAGCAAGCAACAAATGTTTTGCTTTGCAATTAACTGTTTTGAGCCTTTACAGCACTTTATTTTTAATAAATTTTAAATAAAATCAAAGTTAATAATTTATTTATTCAAAAAAGCCGCCTTTTTGCTGTCGGTAAAGTAGTTTACTACTATTATATTTCTCTAGGGTAAGAAATAACAATCATCAATAGTCAGTATTGTTTTTTGAAAAGAAAGTTTCGTCATCTGACAGTAGACGTCAGTCATGTTTTGTTGTATTGTCTCGTTATTGCGGCCCGTGTATTCCGAAGATACGGAGTATTTGATTGGTCGATAGGCCGTAGATTCCGGTTTGAAATCCACGGGGCGTGTAGAATGCGTGTCATTCATCAGTTTAATATTGAGCAAGAATGGATGTATTATTTAATGTTCGAAGAGAAACGACTTTATTGCAAGATGGATTTACAAAAGGAAAAGTTGAAGCTTAGCTTCCTATCCTAACCTCATGATGAATAATTTTTCTCGTCGAACATTAAAATACATTCGTTCTTGGTCGATATTAAATTGATCAATGATACGAATTCTATACACCCCGTGGACACAGCTTACGTGGATTCCAAACCGGAATCCACGGCCTGTCGACCAATCAAATTCTCCTTACTTTCGGAATACACGGGCTGCAATGAGACAGTACAAACAAAATATGACGTCTACTGTCAGATCACGAAACTTTCGTTTAAAAAAAAAGACTTTCGATGATTACAAAAACTAATGATTTTCTTTCAAAAAGTTCGAAGAGAAATTATAGTCTACTCGCAAATAATGGGCTATCATTATTCACTCGAATGATTCCACTACTCGCCTTCGGCTCGTTTTTGAATTTCCATTCTCGTGAATAATGCTCGTTGAAGAATATACTATTCTGAAATCAGCAAGGTTGTTTTAAGTACTTTTTCAGAACTAATGAGGATATTCCGTCCAGACCTGGAGAGCTGGCATTCTTCAGGGCTTGCATTTACTTTAGGATGTTTTGAGTGGTGATTTAGATATCTATAATAGTTGTGAACTTCAAAGTTTTTTACCGACTTTTGAACTGTTGGATAATTTCTCTAGAATCAATATCGACTTTTGAAAAAATGAAACAAAAAGTTGATGATGTTGTTTCGGAGACGAATCTTCCGATTGTATTGTGAAGCAAATAAAACTTTCAAATTCAAAGTATATCTAAAATTAACAGCTTTCAAAGATGTTCTTCATAAATCCATTTGCATCTCACAAAGTGAAAAAACAACAACAAAAAAAAAAAAATTTATTAAACTTCACAATGTTTCTGATAATTTTAGGCGATATTTAATTCAAGACGGTAAGTTTACGGAAATTTTACATGCCGTTTTGCTATTGCCTTGCCTATTTTCACAACGTTATATGCTTTCATTTGCCTCTTATTGCTGTCATTGTTATTGCCCCATTTTTCCCATAATTGAGTTTAAATTATAACATATTCGTATTTGTTTCAGGATCATCATGGATTCCACAGAAAATACTATGATAGATTACGCAGAAAACACTACAAGTTTCTTTTCCGATCTAGAAGAAGACCCTTTCAACCCTTACGAATACGAATTGAGCACCCAGGAAAAAATTTACCATTTTGTTATAGAATATTTAGTCAGTACTACCCATATGTTGCTATGCGTTGCTATTTTACTAGCTAGTTCTCTATTTTTTTACGCATTTTACAAATTCAAAAACCTACAAACAAGAACCAATAATATTTTGTTGCACTTTTACATTTGCATTACTACATCTAGTGTACTTTTTACCATAATTCTAATATTAGAAATGATTATAGTGTTTTCCGATCACCACGGCATTCTGGTACTGATGGTATTGACATTTGGTTTTGTAAACGCTTCCCTTGTTTTGGCTTTATTATTAGCTCAGGATTGGATTCTTTCCGCTAGCAATACAAGGTTTGCGCAAAAATATCAGGATTGCTACAAATGGATGATCGGGGGTGTTTACTTGCTTATTTTATCGCACTTTATATTTTTCTTTATTTGTAGCCATCACAGCGGAGCGGTAGCTATGTCAGCAGGTAGCTGTGGTTTAGTTTACTCAATTAACGGTATAGTATTAATTGTATTTAATGTAATTCGGTACAAGAAAACTTTTTCCGAGGAATCTAAGCAAATATTGTACGCCCTAAATGTGGCTAGTGTTTATTATTTAATGTCGCTACCGCCATTATGTTTTGTATTGTTGGGTATTGTAGTTCCGACACAGACAGGACATTCTTATGACTTTATCGTTATTATGGCTTGTATTACGTATTTTTTGGAATTTATTGCTTTTTCCGCCCCAGTTGTTATTGTTTATTTGCTACCCAAGTGGGATAAGAATTTTAAAATGGCTTTCGATCACGTTTTCAAGAGTACTATTAGGAAATACCAGCAAGTTGATAATGATCTAGAAGTTTAGTTTTTTAGTTGAATAAATTTATTAGTAAATCTATTTATATTGGTTTTATTTCAACAAGAGTGCTTCTTCATTTGTCTATTTGACTTTGCATAAAAAGCAACGCTAGCGTTCTGAGGTGTAAATGTTAATTCTTTAGACGTAAGCTTTAAAATTTGTTGATTTTAAATCTGAAAATAAAACAAAATCGATTATGAGTTTGAAAAGTAGATATTTGTCATTCCTGAGTATGTGTCCGAAGCAGTGTTGCCAGGTCATATTTTGATTTGTCAGTAGATTACCAGTCTAAATATCAGTAGAAATCAGTAGACAGATAAGTTGCCTTGTTAAAGGGGTAAACCATTAGGGTATACTCAATTAATTATTTTTACTACGTTTTTTCAATTAATTAAATCATTAGACTGTTTTAGGCAATATTAAATTCAAGACGGTAAGTTCAAGGAAATTTTACATGCCGTTTTGCTATTGCCTTGCCTATTTTCACAACGTTATATGCTTTCATTTGCCTTTATTGCTGTCATTGTTATTGCCACATTTTCCCCATAGGTAATTGAATTTAAATTATAACATATTTGTTTGTTTCAGGATCATCATGGATTACACAGAAAATACTATGATGGATTACGCAGAAAACACTACAAGTTTGTTTACCGATCTAGAAGAAGACCCTTTCAACCCTTACGAATACGAAATGAGCACCCAGGAAAAAAATTACCATTTTGTTATAGAATATTTAGCCACTACCATCCATATGTTGCTATGCGTCGCTATATTATTAGCTAGCTCTCTATTTTTTTACGCATTTTGCAAATTCAAAAACCTACAAACGAGAACCAATTATATTTTGTTGCACTTTTACATTTGCATTACTACATCTAGTGTACTTTTTACCATAATTCTAATATTAGAAATGATTATAGTAGTGTTCTCCAATCACCGTGGCATTATGGTATTGATGGTATTGACATTTGGTTTTGTAAATGCCTCTCTTGTATTGGCTTTATTATTAGCTCAGGATTGGATTCTTTCTGCTAGCAATACAAGGTTTGCGCAAAAATGTCAGGATTGCTACAAATGGATGATCGGGAGCGTTTACTTGCTTATTTTATCGCACTTTATATTTTTCTTTATTGGTAGCCATCACGACGAAGCGGCAGCTATGTCAGCCGGTAGCTGTTGTTTAGTTTACTTAATTAACGGTATAGTATTAATTGTATTCAATGTCATTCGGTACAAGAAAACTTTTTCCGAGGAATCCAAGCAAATATTGTACGCCCTAAATGTGGCTAGTGTTTATTATTTAATGTCGCTACCGCCATTATGTTTTGTATTATTGGGTATTGTAGTTCCGTTACAAACAGGAAATTCTTATGACTTTATCGCCATTATGGCTTGTATTACGTATTTTTTGGAATTCATTTCGTTTTCCGCCCCAGTTGTTATTGTTTATTTGCTACCCAGGTGGGATAAGAATTTTAAAATGGCTTTCGATCAGGTTTTCAAGAGTGCTATCAGGAAATACCAGCAAGTTGATAATAATCTAGAAGTTTAGTTTTTTAGTTGAATAAATTTATTAGTAAATCTATTTATATTGGTTTTATTTCAACAAGAGTGCTTCTCCATTTGTCTATTTGACTTTGCATAAAAAGCAACGCTAGCTTTTTGGGGTGTAGAGTTAAGCCTTAAAATTTGTTGATTTCAAATCTGAAAATAAAACAAAATCGAAGGGGCCTTCGATTATGAGCTTGAAAAGTAGGTATTTGTCATTCCTGAGTATGTGTCCGAAGACCGAAGTTCTCTAACTTTCACTTTTTAAGCGTATTAACATAACTTCAAAATCTTTTGACATTCTCGTTACCACATCTTTATTGCGCATTCTGTCCGTCTAAGATATTTTTAACATCCATCTATATGTCCAAATGTCAAAAGCCTCAAGCGAGAGATTTTGACTAAACAACACGGACTTCATCTTTCCAAATGATGCTCTGGCTTGTTCAATCCTGGCAGGAACCTTTTGCATGTTATCTCAGTTTTCATTAACCTGACATCTTAGACATCTGTGGTTTGTATCTCTGAGGGAATAACCGGATACACACGGTGTACCTAAGGTTATTTTTTCTTCGGTGCTGGTCTTGTCCTGGTTTCCTATAGTACTTTCTGTACTAAATCCGCAGTACTCAGCACAACCGCTTTCTGAAGTGTCATTAGGTTGTGGGTTCCGGGGAGATGTTTTATCACTTCACAGGTGGTTGTGCGATATCCGATATCAATCCTGTGGCACCGATTAATACAGGGACTACTACTGTTTTCATGTTCCACAGGCGTGGTATTTCAATTTGCAGATCTTTGTAGTTTAAGCATTTCTCTGCTTCCTTCTGGGTGATGTAGTCCGATAGGATTGCTACGTATATTAGCTTCTGGTCCTTCACTATGATCTCAGACTTGTCTGCTAGCATGGTTAATTCTGTATGTTTCCACTTGTGTGATCCATATTATTGTAATTTCAGGAGTAGCCGGAGTCGTATTTGTACCATTTCTCATGTACATTTACTTCATACTCCTTGCAGATGTTCCAGTGCAGGTGGGCGAATGGGGCATCTTGACACTATATGGTGGATGGTTTCGTATTGGGCGTGGCATAGTCTACATTTTGGATCTATGTCCTTGCTTTCCATATGGTTGGCTATAGCTTGCTCCTGTCATGCAGTTACCAGTGCTTCGGTTCCTATTCTTAGGTTTGCATGGGTGAGCCCCTTCCATGATGCAGTTGTGTTGATGATTTCCTTTTTCGACTTCTTTGCGATTTGTCCTTGTAAGGCCTTATTGTCTGTTTTTTTCTGTTCTGTTGTTTCAATCCTTCTTTAATCTATTTGACTGTTTTTGTTTCAGGTTGGTTCAAATTAACGCTTACCGCTTTCTCGTATTCGCTGTTATCTTTTTCCTCGTTGTTCACCAGGCCGATGTAATTGTCTTTCTTTTTCAGCTGAAGGTAAGCGTTCAGTCCTCTCATCGCGATGGTGTGGCAGTTTTCCAGGTTTTGCATGCTTCTCCCTCCTTCTTTTCGTGGCAATTATAACCGGTTTACGTTGGCTTTGTGGTGGAGTTCGCCATGGATGTTGATAGCTTCTGGGTTTGTCTGTCCATTTTTCTGAGTTCTGCTAGTGTCCACTTGATGATGCCGAAACTGTATTGTATTACATAGACTGCTAGGGATGTAATGGCAGAGCTCTTGTTTTTGGCGTTAAGTGCGGTCTTGAGTATTTCTCTGATTCTTCTGTAGTAAGTATTCCTTTACCAGTTTCACTTTCATCTTCTTGTGCTGTATTCCGTCGTTCTCATAAATTCCCAGGTACTTGTACTTGATTTCGTGTACTTTTTCTACTTGTTGCGTTATTTCGTCTTTGCTTTTAGCTATTAACTGCAGATTTTCAACGTATGGGAGGTGGTTTATCTTTTGCTGCCCGTTTCTGCAAGTTTATCGTACCTGTGATTTTAAGGATGGAATGCCGTTCTTCATGTTGATTTCTTTGATTCTTAGGGTTGTTGATCCGGTTGACAGGTGCAGGTCAGTTTCACAGGTGGTCATGGTTCTTGTTATGAAGGGTGTATAGTGTTGAGGATGTTCGGTATATGTTCATGGTTTCTACTAGCCAGCTATGAAATACACTGTCAAAAGTTTTTCTGTATGGTCAATCCAGGCTTTTGAGAAGTTTTTGCGGTTATTCTTGCAGTTTGTTTGGATCATGTTCCTGTTCGAGAGGTGGTCTTTACACCCCTAAGAGTTCTTGTGGCAACCTTTTTGTTCGTCAGCGAAGAGATTATTGTCTACTATATTATGTGAGTAGAGTCTTTCTGATATTATTTTTGTTAGGATTTTGTATACATTGTTCAAGCAGGTTATGAGGCGATATGATTTGTCTTTTTCAGTGTCTTCGGATTTGGGGATTAGCCTTTTGTTAACCAGGCGAGTGTCTCCAGTTGCTTCCACCAGAAGTTTGGTATGCCGTCTATCCGTGCTGCTTTCCAGTTTGCTGTTCCATCGGTTGCTAGCTTGAGTTGTCAGGTCATTTCATGCGCAATAATTTAAGTCAATAAAAGTTTAAATTAGGTACCGCCCCTGTTCTTGTGCTAAAATTTCAAACACACACACTACATTCAATCAACACTACCTATACTGAAGAGCTTTTGGTTGGTAAGCCGGTCTGCCGAAGGGTACTTAGGTCCCATACGGGATGCTACTCAGCTATAGTTGCTATTTTGAGCCAATATCTCTTTCCTTTGTTTGGTAGGATATTCGCTCGTCAGGGTAGGAAAATGTTAGTAAATTCAAAAGGCCCTAATGCACGTTCTGAATACACAAAATCAAAATCTCAGCACAAAAAGACAGCACATGATTTCTTAGGTTTTAATTTACTTCTTTATCTGTGTTGTTCACAGCATGAAACGATTTTTGTTAAATACATGAAGAATGCACATGTTATAAGAAAAATGTTATAAACAAACATAAAAATGGGAAAAAAATAATACTTGTATAAATTGAATTCTCAAAAACAAAATAACAATTATTCAACTGACCTGTGATCGCTCCTTGACACACACACTAATACAAAATAACAATTGAAAAATGAACAATGGCGGACAAACGGTCCAAAGGGACCAGCCCAGCAGCTTCTTCTCTCTAGTCTAGTCGCGTATTCTCTACCGACTCTTCGCTTCGGTACTTTTCTGTTGCGGGACGCTCTCGTTCTCATCAATTTCACAGAGCATTACATGGTTGCAACATTTACTTTTTATTCAGTAAACCTTTTTTAAAAAGTTAAGATTTAAAGAAATAATATTTTGAATAGGTGGTTTTCCTCACTGCCTCATGGTATCGCCACTGAGGTTTATGCAGATAATTTGCCATATAATTCAAAAGAATGTTTAGGTTTCGCAAGAAGTTAGTGTTTCAAGTTTGTCACATCATTACCCCAAGTCTAATGGACTGGCTGAAAGATCAATTGAAATAGCCAAAAACATGTTGAGGAAATGTCACGATATAGATTTGGCTCTGCTTCAATATCGCAATATTCCAGTCACAGGATTGGGTAAATCTCCTGCCCAACTACTAACAGGTATACTATTGAGAGCCAAACTGCCTTCAGCAAAACAGTTGTCAACTCCTACTTCTATTGATTGGGAGGAAGAAAAACAAAAGTTGGAAAAAAAATAGAGACATCTACAAAAATTACTATGACAGGAATGCAGTAATAAAAAAAGAATTTGGAGAAAAGGATAATGTAGTCATTCAGAAAGGCAAAACTTGGCAACCTGCGATAGTTACCCAAAAATTAGATACTCCAAGGTCTTATACAGGGTGAATCCGAAAGTGAGGTTTTTTTTTTAACGGGATATATATCTCACCAAAATAAGTTGTTTGGCACAAAATTGTTTACACAAAAAATTTAAGATAACGGAGTTACAGGTATTTCAAGGTCTCAAGAAGACTCCAGGGTCTTTATTCTCAAAACATGCGAGCAGCGTTCTTATGAGAATGAAGGTCCTATCTTCGTCGCCCTACTTGCCCATACTCATGTTTGCATAACACTGACAAAGACCAGATCAATCGTTCTCATGAGGACGCTGTTTCCCAGTTTCGAGAATAGGCATCCAATTATAAAACATTTTGTTTACATTTTCTCGGAAAAAAACAGTTATTTGTCCAGCATAATGAGTTTTTTTCCATAATAGGTAATCTACAGTTGCATTATTTCATCAGAAAAATCAATCAAAAACTCCTTTTTCCATTTTCAACCTAATAATTTTTATACCTTTAATTACCTGTAAGTCCGTTATCTTAGATTTTTTATGTGAAAAAATTTTTACCAAACAACTTATTTTAGCGAGATATATACCCTGTTTAAAAAAAGGCTTACTTTCAGATTCACCCTATATAGTACAAAAACAAAATGGAAAACTTTTAAGAGGAAACAGTAGCCACATTAGACCATCTTGAGGACATCATCAATTAAGAAAGGATCTTGCAGACTTTGATCACACCCACACATCCGAAGATAATGTCAGGGACAAAGACATTGTTGAGCCAACCGAAACTTTGAAGAGTTCTACAACTAACAATTTAGTTCCTAGAAGAAGCAGCAGAGTCGTTAAACAACCTAAAAGATTTAATGATTTTAATTTGAATTTCTAAAGCATGAGCTTGTTTTTATACTCTTATAATTTCATTTCCTTGTTCACTTTAGTTTAGTTATTATTTCATTTACTCTGTCTTGAAAGGGGAGGTGTCATATGAGAATGTCACTGTGGCGCCCATCCCTACATGATAGATATAGCTCATCTTTATATAGGTATAGAACATTAACAGTTTAATATATTAGAAGCAATATTAGAAGTCAGTCAGTTGTCAAAGACTATTGTAATCATTTGTCAATTATTATTAATATAATATTAATTAACAAAAACCTATAAGCGTTTTCACGAGTTTTGGTATGAATGTGGTATCATGAACCATAACATACCACTCGTTTTCACAAAGTGTTTCGGTATGTCATT